ATACTCCCTCATCATTTTTTGGAATTTTTACAAAACCCAATCATGAGTTAATGCGTGATATGTTTCATCCTTTATCTGATGAAGTCCTAAAGGATGAAACATGTCACAATAAATTTTTTTCACTTTGTCACATATTTTTTCCCAAAACCTAATCATATGAAACTGGATTTATACATTTTTTTTAAAAACAAAAATGTTAAACACTATTTATTTGATAGTTTATTTAGAAGATTCTAAAAGATATGAGAACTATAACAATATTTTTTAACATTGGAAAATGTATGAATCAATTTATTCTCCCTCACCGGCTATGGGTTAATTAGTAAGACTTGTATTACTAAACCATTATCTCCCTAAAAAAAAATTATTCCAATCAAAAAATATTTGCTGGCTTTAAATAACTTGCAAAGGGTTGATAAGTTGCAGAAAATGAATGAATCAAATATTATTTTTTTTAAAGAATCACCAGTACATCATTTTTATTTACAAATGTCAATCTGGAAACTACTTATAACACTGATAAATGTGTACTACTGATTTCTTTTTTCTCAATTCTTAAAGTTAGGAATCGATTTGACACTGTATTTGGAGAATGAAGAGGACAAATCCCTTCTAAAATGATTAAAAAATAATCAGTATTTATATGTTCTAACAAATGTCATTGTAGAAAAAGGTCTAATGAAAGCTAATCTGCAAAAATTGTTAAAATAAAATAATTCTTCCCTATTTTCTTATGAGTGGATCACTCAGTTTAAGTAGTGCCAAACATTGTTCAGTATTTACAACTTCCCAAAGCTTGACAAACATCAGCAGCAGCACTTATCAGCAAGCAGGTTAGGTTTAAGACTCCAAGTTCTCCATATTGAATTGTCACAGTGGGATAAACATTAGTTCATGAATTTGGTGACACAGTAATTTTTAGTTCAATCCCTGGGCTAGGCAGTGAACTTGGACTCAGTGGAAATGGTTTGGTTTGTTTTACAGCATATCAACCTCAATGGGATATTCAATGCTGACAAGATTTTTATTGCTGGTAATATATTTTTTTTCAAAAATGTATTGCTGGTAATATTGTATTGTTGGTAATAATTTTTTCCTTCAAAAATTTATTGCTAGTAATAGTTTTTTACAAAAACGTTTTGCTGGTATTAAAACCTATTTTTACACTTTGATAGTGTTTTGACGCCAGTGTGGGTTTTAACTATTTGCCTATAGCAGGGACCCTAATAAGTGCTACCAACCCAGGTTAGGGTGGACCTGAGAGCAGCAGCAATTAAGAGGTGGTTCCACAATCCTCAAAACTTCCTGATCAGAGGCCTTGCTGCTGGATATAGTTTATCGTCTTACCCAGAACATTCAGTGGAAATGAAGCAAGCAATAACTGAGCAGTACAAAAAAATAAGAACAAAATGAGATATCTACTCCCATAGATTAAATAAAGGATTCAGTTTGAAATTCCTTGTAGGTTACCCAGATCTTCTTTGGGTTTTATCAAGATTCTCTAAATACATAGCAGATACACCAGACCAGATGTGGTAGTAATATTCAATGGTAGATTTATAAATGTACAGGATAGATTTGTTGTTCATGATGACGGTTGTCTTTGAGTATAGAATCCAGAGGTTAGCAGTGAATATTTCAAAGACAGTAGAAAAGCGTAGTTCAGGTTAGCAGTGGATATCCCGGTAAAGTAGCAGAGCATAGTTCTTCCTTCTGCTCTGTTTGACTGACAAGCTGGTACTGGACATTTGGATAGAGTAAACAAAATGGCCGCCTTTATACATGACGGATTGAATGTTCTATGTCTTCTGATTGGTTAACCTTCTATTGGTGGACTATAAAGTGAGTCAAGTCATTTGGGCTAGCTCACTAGTTACATAATGTATCCAAAAATTGTAACAGATTCTGGCAAGAAAAATTGTCTAGCATGACAGTGAATCAACTTTTCTAGCAAGCAGACCTAGCAGTAGATCCAATATAATCTTTCTACTTCATATCAGAAGAAAATGCTAAGCTGAGAAGTTAGCATCAGCTATGCTAGAAGGCAAAAATGGTTTTCCAAAATAACTAAAAGAGAGCAGTTTGATTTGGGAGGTTAATATAACCAGTAACTAATATGTTGGAAGCGATGATATAGTCTTGTGCTCCAATGTTATAAAACCTTAAAATAATACCAGAAATAATTTTAGCTCAATAATCATATTTTTCATTTTCTTATTCAAAGTGCCCAAGTTTTCTTTTCATCTTAATTCAACAGGTATCAGCAGAAACTAAAGAGTGACAAGAGATGACAAAGAGCATTTGTAAATAACCAATTACCTACCTTACCAATATAACTTCAAAAGGAAAGAAATAAATTAAAAAGCACATGAAGACTATATATCTATGTGTAAAATTTCAGATAGAATATATCTGTAAAAGAACAATATGAGTAAAAACAAAAGAAAAACTTAGCTAAAACATTTTGTCCTCTAGGGCAGTGGTTGCCGACCTTTTGAACTTCATAGACCACTAAATGTATACTTTTAAATTTAGTGGGCCACTAATATTAATTTAGAAAAAAAAGGTAAATACATTTATATAATAATAATAATAATAATAATCAGAAAACTTTTATTTTATTAATATGAAATGCACCCATTGAAGGTAACAAAGTTATAGTGTAATTATTTAAATAAAACAAATTAAAAATTTGAAGTTTCATAAAAATTGAAATAATGTCCCAATTTTTCTGTGGACCATCAAGAATTTTGCATAGACCACCAGTCGGCAACCACTGCTCTATGGGGATTTAGCATTTGCCTTGATAAAGCCCCTCAGAGGACAAAACGCATCAGCTAAGTTTTCTGTTTATCTTTATTCTTGCGAATATAAGAGATATGTTCTAAGTAAGAATTCTAAGAACAGTTTTTCCTTAAAATTACTTTCTTTTTTAATATCAGATATGCATAGTGAAAGAGTTAACCCTATCAGACCATAGGAGATTTCGTTTGTCATATCCATGGAATCCTGACCAAATTGTTGAAAAATCTGAATAATGTGATGTTCATGCAATTAAATTGACATATCTCAAAAACTGTTGGCAATCAATTATTAAAATTTGATTTTATATGAAAGTAAATTAATTCCTCTTTCAAATGATACCAAATTTAGCCTCCTGGGTATAACTAGTTATGAGATATGGTTTTTGGTAATATACAAAACTTTGTAAAAGTTGTAGATTTCTGTGCCCTCTAATTGATCATGTTGACAGATGCTGCATATTAAAATACAGTGCTGTGCAATTGTATTAATGAGGACAATAGTCAGCATGTATATAGTGTAAATAATAAATACCAAATTTAGCCTCCTTGCTGATCATGAGATATGGTCTTAGAAATTTACAACTGTAAAAAATTATAGATTTCTGAACACTTCTAGTTGATGATGTTAACAGTTTGTATTAAAATTCAGGACTGTAAGCATATGAAACTTGTGGGCACATTTGCGTGCTCCCAGACTTAAAGGTTAATATCAAGCTCCCAATCATGTGTGCATATGATTGGTTGGTTTGGTTGATTTTGTTTAGTGGTATATCAACCTATATCGGTTATTTAATGCTGAAATCTAAATATATTTTGAATGAAATTGTATGCCTTCAACTACAGATATTTTGTATACAATTTTATACTTTCAATGTAATCATATGTTTTATGGATATATAGTCTGTACATAATCTGTTGTAGGCGTTATATGTTTTGGTATAAACCTATTTCTTTAAGGTTTGGCATTATATTGACAGTATCAGTATTTCCAAATAGTTTTCTGATGTTGTTTGCACATATGAGAGGAAGTCAGCATATGTGTTAATGTACAGAGGAAGCCTTTGTATGTGTATCAGTTGGAGTTCTTCTATAAAAATATTTTAATGTCAAGCACTTTCAAGATGTAGGCAATCATGACTTTCCACAGCTTCCTTTTCAATCCTGATGCATCCTCAACAGTTTAAATTCAGACTTATTTATTCTATTTGCTTGTCTGTCTTACCATTTTTTTTAATCATTTGACCCCAAGTAAAGCGATAATGCTGCTAGAATGCAAGGGTTTACAGGGAGTGAAAGAGAATGAGAAGACTGAGAATGGGGAGGACTGAGGAAAAGACAAAAAGGGAATGGGGTTGATAAGTCATAAAAAACAAATCAATTAATCCTGTTTCCTCAACAGTTTAAATTCAGAGTTATTTATTCTATTTCACTGGCTGCCCTACCAATATTCACTGACACAAAAAAAAATATTTTGTAAAATTTGTCAATTATTGGTATTTCTAACTGAACATATGAAGAATGCTGTGTATTAGAATACAGTGCTTTTAGATACTTCTAGCTTTAAGTTGTTAAAGATTGGTAGGAGAATTACAATTGTTTTTTTTTTTATATGATGGGAAGGGCTTCACCTAAGTAATTTTAATTCCACTCTGCTTATACAAACACAGCTGCAATGGATAATAATAAAACATTAACAGAATCATTTTGGTATTTCTGCAGTAAAAGTTAATGAATCTCATTGGGGAATGTAGAAATAAGCTTAGGTCATTGTGGTCAGACAGGAAATGTAAGGTAGCTAAGATGGGCGAGATTGATTGTAATTTGATTTTCAATATAGACTTGTCTGATTAAAAATATCTATAAGAGAAAATATGTATTGATCACAGAGATTATATAAACATATGCAGAAAATATCTTATATAAAAGAAGGGTGCCAAAAAGGTTTTGGCCTGACCCGGTAGGAATTAAAAAAAAAAATATTTGATCAGATTTAAGGAAGACAGTTGTTGTAAGAACTTTTCAGCACCTCTATCAGAAATATAACTTGACATAGAGATCTGAATGTTTTCAACCTTGAAAAATTCCAGTAGGAATTTGACCAAATTTTATTTTTATTTAATAGATTCTTGATTTTTGTATATTTGAATGATATTTTCTCTACTTATAAAATATTTTGAGGCTTACAGCTACATCATATTGAAACATTTGTTCCTGTATGATCACTGAAGTTAAGCAATGTCGAACCTGGTCAATACCTAGATGGGTGGCCACTTGGGAATACCACGTGCTGTAAGCTAGGATGTGCAGGTGGTGTAATGAATAATGGCTCCAAATTTTTAATCAGAGAGCCAAGTTCCAATTTGTGTTGGGTTTGTTATATTCACTTACGCGCAAATACCATTGGAAAAGGTATGAATCCACCACTTCTCCCCCAGCTATGAATTAATTAGTAAGACTAATCACTAGATAATTATTATCTCCACCCCAAAATATTCTTACAATCTTAAAAAATATATTTTCTGGCTTTAAAAAACATGTAAAGGTTTGATAAGTCATGTAAAATGAAAAAAAAACTGAAATTTATTCTTTTATTATCATAATTTAGCTGTCTTAATACTGAAAACAATGTAATCTTACAGAATGTTATCTGTTTATTAATATTCTTTAATATGCCATGCCACTTCAGAACATTAGCGATCATAGTTCTCCACAACTTCCTATCCTTTGCATCTCTTAGCAGTGTTTGTTTTTTACTATCCCTCCCAGTGCCTTCATTAGTTAGGTTTAAGTTGTTTCTCTCTGCTCTCTTGCTTTCAATATGTCATGTGAGTGTCAAATTCTCCAAGCCCTCTTTCCATTCCCATTTTCCTTAGAACTTTCTGTTTGCCTTTTTTTCTATCCTTGTTGTGCCATTTGGGCAGGTTGATTTTTCACTTGTTTTAGAAAATCAACACTGCACTTGATACAAAAGCTGGGATTCTATATGGTAAGTACTAACACCAAAAGTTAGATTCATAGCTTTTACCAATTCTTGAGAATTTAAAGATCATCTGAAAAAGATGTACAGAAATACCTTGTTACTGCAGGTTTTTGTTTACAAACTTCAAAACTTTACTATTTCAAGAATAAATCCATATGAAGTTCATATATTTTGTGTTAGATACATTGAATGGAAAACATATTCAAACCTGAATTCTAATTATGAATCACCGCAAGCAAGATATGCTTCTTTTTTTTTTTTACTGTATTTGACAAGTAAAAACTGTGTAAAAAAAAAAAAAAAATTGTAAAAGATTACAAAAATGACTACTCAATAAATATGATTTGTTGGCTCATAATTAATAAAAACAAAAAATTGATAAAAGTGTATATAACAACATAATACTGCTGGGCAGAAATTATAAGATAAAATGTTTTAAATTTGCATTGTTTATTGAAAATCATACTAAAACTACTGCACTGTATAACACTACATTATAATATGTGTATATTGTTCAGGGGAGGAACGGTGGATTAATAAATAGCAGCTCGGATTGAGGAATCAAAGAACCGAGTTTGAATCCCAGCCAAATCCATTATATTCCCTTACATGCTAATACCCTTTGAAAAGGTATGAATCCTCTTCTTCTATCCCCCGCTATGGGTAAATAGCAGGAAAAACCCGGATCTATAGCCTTGGATAGCAACTGGTCTATTGTAGAAAGAAATGGCCACCTACTGCAGCAGATTGAGAAATAAGAGAACCAAGTTTGAATCCATTACATTCACTTACATGCTAATACCCTTGGAAAAGGTATGAATAATCCTCTTCTCCCCCCAGGTATGGGTAAAATAGCAGGACAGACCGGGATCTATAGATTTGGATGGCAACTGGTCTACTGTAGAAAGAAATGGCACCTACTGCAGGGAAAAAATCTGCCTTGTCAGTCATGTATCAAAAGATACATGATCGCCTAAGCGTGTATCATGTATGGTACATAACTGACTGAAATTGTTCAGGATAATTTCCCTTTGAAGAAAATGAAGGTCTTATTTAATGGCACAGTGATTTAGGAATAATGTGTGTGTGTGTGTGTGTCTTGCATCTTGTCCATATACAATTTGTAAAGCTTCAGTAAATTATAAATCTTATAAAGCTGTGCTCTAAGGGTTTCACTGCTTACCGGAATTAAATTCAAACATTATTATTTTGAATGTAAACTTAAGCTTTTAAACTGGTTTTCTCAAAAACTGATAATGGTTTGGGGAAAAAATATGTTGCATCATTATTTATCATTATAAATAGCAGCATGGCCCGGCATTGCCCGTGCTTGATTCAAAAATCATATGACTCATACAGCAATTGCTATCACTTGACTTAAAATATTTTTTCCCTTTGCCGTGCTGATGTTGCTACATGCCTTACTTCTTGCCTATCTCACACTGCAAATTTTTTCTAAGCTCTATACTAAACATTAAATCTGTTACGAAAAAAGAACTAAACAAAATGAACACAAAACGATTAGCTTTAAAAATGGACTGGAAAAACCCAATGAAAAAAGAATGTTAACAACAAATACTTTTTCACACCCAAACCCAGTTCTGCAGAATCAGAATCAACGTTGAGTTTAAGAAAATGAATGAGCCAATTGGAGTAAAGTGCCATGCAAGTTTAAATTTTTCCTACTTGTGACGAATGTAGCTATCGATTTGTTTTTTGTATGCTAGCTTGCTAGTTAACATTCATGTCAGTCAGCTGTTGGCTCTCACACTGGCCAATAGAATCTTCCTGCCTATTCGTGACAGCCAGCTATAGACCCTCATTCTGGCCAGTACAAAATGGCCGCAAACTACATGAAAACTGCCATAGAAGCATGAAAAAATTGATTATTTCCACTATCGATGGGAGTTGGGAAATGCAAGGTTAGTCTTGGCCTTCCCACTAACTTGGAGCATGTGCATGTAAATTTTGGTGCAAATCCATCAAAAATTTCAGCTGTGCATTCATTACACACACACACACATGCACATCCTGCCTTTTATAGATAGAGATTTGTCAACTTCCAAATTGAGGGTAATATCATGGTTCCAAAATCAACCTGCCCTATCCATTTACCCAAACTCATTAGGTAGATTACTTGCTATTTCTCTCTGCCCCTCTTGTGTTCAATATGTCTCCAAGCCTTCTTTCTTCATTATGCATCCTAGAAATTTCATCTGTCTAACTGTAAGTGTCCTTTTTCTTTCCATTTTCTTTGAAACTTCCTTATTGTTCACATATTCCATCTTTGGTATTCTCAATAATCTTCTGTGGAAAAACATTTTTGTTGACTGAATTTTTCTCTCATTCAGGTTTTAATTGGAAAATTCATTATCTTGTTTAGGAGAGTTTTCCAAGTTCATTTCTCATATCAAAGACAAAAATACTTGCAAGAAAGCTTCCCTTACTTTATCAAATTACAAGGCTGGAGTTTAACCGAGTTAACATTTATAACCATCTTTGAAATGATCAGATTAACCTGCTACAACAGTGAAATCAAACAGCAAATAGAGAAAGGACATAATCTGAAAACATTATAAAGCCATTCTCCTTTTCATCTTTGTTTTCAAATTATCTAGTTTTTATTTACTTTCAGCAATGATACCTGTAACACGAGTCCTCATAACAATATTCTCTTCTTACCGTTTATTATATTCCCTACATCCCCCTTAATTCTCTCTTGATGCAGTGGCTCAATCCAACTTAATTTCTGTCCTGGGTATGACAATAAACTACAGCCGTGTCCTGGATAAGACGATAAATTACGTCCGACAGCAAGGCCTCTGATCAGGAAGTTTTGAGAAGCATGGATGCACCTCTTAGTTGCTGGTGTTCCCAGGCCCTGACTCAAGGTGGTAGCACCTGTTAGGGTCCAAGGTATAGGCAAATATAACTGGGATCAAAACACTATGAAAGTATAAAAATAGGTTTTAATACCAGGAATACTATTTTGGAAAAATTATTACCAACAATCTTGTTGGCATTAAATTGCCCATTGAGGTTGATATTCCGTAAAACAAAACAAATCAAACCAATATATACTGAGATAGATAGAGAGAGAGAGAGAAAGATAAAAAATATTACCAGCAATAAAAATGTAGTTGGCTTTAAATAACCCATTGAGGTTGATATGCCATAAAACAAAACAAACTAAACTAAACCAACTTAATTTTGTCCAAGATGCCTGTAACTAGTCTAACTTGTAAATTCCTCTTTTTTTTGTGCTGTATCCCCTCAGGAAGTAGGCGATCATGGTTCTCCACAATTTCCTGTCCTTTGTAGCTCTTACTAAATTTTGTCTTTCTGTTATTTCTTCTAACCCGCTTTTACTCAAGCTCACTAAGTAGGTTATGCGTTGTTTTTCTCTGTCGCTTTTGCCTTCAATCTGTCCTGTGCGTATCAGATTTTCCAAGCCCACTTTCCTCATTATGTGCCCTAGAAATTTCAACTTTCTCTTTCTAATATTAATTATAAGTGTTTTATCTGCTGTGTGTTGCCTTATGATGTAGGCGGTCATGGCTCTCCACAATTTCCTATCCTTTGTAGCTCTTACTAAATTTTGTCTTTCTGTTATTTCTCTTAACCCTGTTATGCCATCTATTTACTCAAGCTCACATTGTTTTCCTCTGTCTCTCTTGCTTTCAATCTGTCCTGTGAGTATCATATTTTCCAAGCACTCTTTCTTCATTAAGTGCCCTAGAACCCTCAACTGTGTCACTTCCTGGTGTTTAGTATAAGTTTCCTTTTTGTTTCCATTTTCTCTAAAAACTTTGTTGTTACTCACATGTTCAGTATATGGTATCCTCAGTATCCTTCTATAGAACTATGTTTCTGTTGCTTGATGTCTCTTCTTCATCTTTGAGGAGATTGTTCAGAATTCACTACCATACGAGAGGACAGATATCACATAGCAGTTCAGTAGTCTTTTAGCTGTATCTAATGAAGTTTTTCTGTTTCTTAATACTCTGCTTAGCTTGGAATGCATCTTTTGCTATTCCAATTCACCTTCAGATGTTGCGTTTTCCAACCTCTTTAGAACACTTGCCAGATACTTAAATTTCTGCACTTGTTTGATTGTGGTATCTCCAATTTGTAATTTGCTCATCCTTTCACTCACAACTATGCATTCTGGTTTCTTGCAGTTGATGTTTAATCTTTTCTTCTTGTCTCAGATAATGGCTCAGAATTTTTAATCTGAGAGATAAGTTCAGTTGAGTTCTTTATATTCACTCATGCATAAATATTCTTGGGAAAGGTATGAATCTACCTCTTCTC